CCCAGACCAATCCTGATGAGCCTGACCTCCTGAATGTCATTGCAGATCTTTGAAGCCCGACCATCTCTCGAAAAGAATCACAAGCTGATGCAAGGAAGGCTTACAAGGAAGAGAAGGGGCTTTGAAAGCCTTTTATTCTCAATATTGGATTACAACAAGGATGATGACATCAAGGTAACTAACGATAAGAAAATGGTTGAGGATATATATTAAACTATAGCGTTGCGTGCTTGGACTGCTTATTTGTTTAACTAATGTCGAAGTCCTTAAACTTCATCTCTATGGCCTCCACGTGGAGAGGTTTACATGTTTTGATTATTAAACAAGGAACCTAGATGTAAGTAAATACATTAGGAGCAACATTTAGCATCACTAGTTAGCATATTCCTCTTGTTATTTTAGCTGTCAACATGCTACGAGCTTTTATGCCGCCAAGCTACCTATTTTTATATTAATTTCTTGCTTATCTATGCTTCGATGATAAATCCAAGAACCTCCGAAGCTCCAAATGCCCGTTCACCTCTTCATGGATATGAAGATTGTGAAGGAAATTTCGAGAAAAACAGATGATGTAAACCCTTAATGAATATACATCATATTACTTTTTTTTAAGTAAAATACACACCATATTCCTGTTTATGTGTTAAATATGTTTTATATTTATAAGATTAATTTGTAAAAGCTAATGTGGATCTTCTACATTTAACACTTAAATATAAGATCAGATCAGTGACAGATGCCTCTAGGTTCAGCCCTCCAATCCCAATTAACAATAAATGGACTCAAAGGTCTATTCACTCATAATCTAGATTTGATACTAAGATCTCATGTAGAATCGGACTCAACTAAAACAAAATCTTGAAGGTTTTTGTGAACCATTCCCAAATTTTTTATTTAATTAGCTCATTACTCTTTCTAAGTTTTTTCTAATGTGGGACTAGACTCACACATGACCTCCTACAGGTACGTACTAGCTCCTTAAACGATTCAAGCTTGCACGTATACATAAGCAGATGTGTAAATAAAGGATTAATTGCAGATAGACCTCCTTTAGTATCTTTGTTTAAGCTTGCACGTATACATAAGCAGATATGTAAATAAAGGATTAATTGCAGATAGACCTCCTTTAGTATCTTTGTTTTGTACTTACTACTCATCTAGTTTCATTTTTGCAGATAGAACACGTAAGTGAATTTTTTTTATTACTTTTTTACCCTCATGAAGTCAATTTGCCAACAAAAACAACTTCTTTTCGCTGTGAGGGTGAAAGAGTCAAAAAAATTCACTGGAGGGTCTATCTGCAACAATGGAACTCGAGAGGTAGTAAGTTCGAAACAATTATACTACAGCGGTCTATCCATCATTAATCCTAAAATGAAACTCAATATACCCTTATCAATACTGCTAACATTTCAACACACAATTCAGACAAATATATAAAAATTACACAAAAATGAGAAATTAAAAAATTGAGATATGTAAGGACACGAGAAAAAGCAAATCCAACACACTAGAGCTTTTACAAAGAATCAGACTGTTACGCAAGTACAGAACTGATACTAGTTCCCTCCTTTCCTCTCTATTCACCAATCATTACCACTGCTCTCATCACTAGCGCCTGCCGAGCTTGGAGGGCTTAGCAGCATTGGCACTCATCGACTTCTTGAAAATTGTGGTTACTCCTCTCTTAGACTTTGAGGGCAATTCTATGTCTGGATCACTGCAGCAATTAATGTTGTTAGTAGTGAACACCATGCTCTTCGAGGACCTTAACTCGCTAAAATCATCGACTGTTTTGTCTTCACCTTTGTTACTTTGATCTTCATCCCCAAACAAAAACCTATCATCCCACACAAGCCCAGATGACCCTGACCTTCTAAATGTCTCTGCTGATCTCCTAAGCACAGACATTTTCTCTTTTTCAATCATTAACAGGAACAAGAGACATTTATATACACATATTCAGGAGCAAATCCAATTCTGGTGGACTGTTAGGAACCTTCTTCTGATTGTAACTTGCATTGATATTTACTTCCAGTATTTATTCCCTCCCATTAAGACCTTGAGAAGAAACCTAAGAAAAAAGAGGGATTTTGTTGTATATGCTGATATTTGAAGGGTTGGTTGCACTTTGAAAGGGATCCTTTTGTTCATAACTTAGTGCAATATGCATGATATTAGTAAATAACTGTTAATAGTGTTCTTTTTATGACTTTGCTGATTCCTATGTAGCCGAAAGGAAAGTTCATATACAGGTGAAGAGTTTCAAGGCTTTGCAATACTTTTGGCTTGGGTTATTAAGAGTTTTATCTAGAGAGAGAAAGAGAGAGGAAGTTTGGATGTAGCTGATCAGTGTTTAACTCTTCTGGGTTGGTTCATTAAGATTTTTTATTATGGGGAAAAAGAAAGGGCTGAAGAGTTTTAAAATCTTTTGGCTTTTCTCAAAAAATAAAATTAATTTAAAAAAAAAATCTTTTCTCTTGGTAACTTAAAAAAAATTCCTGGTCGGCTCAAAGATGAATTTGGTCCCTATATCTTATCATCTTTCTATTTTGTCCAATGTCACATTATGCAGTATGCATCATTGAGAAATTCACTAGCCATTATGCATAAATCATATATGCAATCTAAGTCATTTCGGAGGGGAGATTCAGAAAAAAAAATCTGAAAATCATTAAAAGATATAACAAAGTTAAAAATGTTAAAATCGGAGTGTACACATGAATGAAAAGTGAGGGAAAACGATTAGGATAAGCACTTCAACCAAATAAAATAACATGAAATACCTAATCAAAAATAATTTATCGCAACCTCTGGACACTATGCCACAACCTCGGGTGTGTCGCGTGGTCCTAGGCTTAGCAAGCAGCACAATAACTGCTTTGCATCAAATTTAACAGCCGACGGTAAGGACAACTTCCCTTCGCAAAGGCTATGACAACAAACCTTTGCAATTTCTCCCTATTGTTATTTTTTAGTATAAAACCTACCCTTTTAATTTAGTTCTTGCTGTGTCATTTACTGGATTTTCTTGATTCTCCGGTCATTTGTGATTTCTCTCTTTTTAGTTTTCGACATAGTCTTGAATGTTTAGTTACTGACGGCTGCTTTTGCAGCGTAAAATACTGAGATTCTTTGTCCTTTTTGTTCAAAGGCTGCATAATGAACCTTAATATTTACTTATGTTTTAACAATTAAAAATATTATTTAAGTTTAAGATTAATATGTGCCTGGAGTTTGTGAGTTGTAAATGTATTTAAAGACATCCACAAGTTTTTGAATAGTGGTGAAGGACATACATAAGAGCCCAACGGGTAAAAGGCCACCCAAGCTTCAAGAATGAAACCGTCTAATGCCTAGTTTCCACAGTTAGGCAATTGAGAGCTAGACCAAAACGGCCTTTCTTCCCCTGTACTGCTCCACATGAAATGCTGTATTGCATTCAGTTAAAATTTAGAGTGACCCACATATACAATCCTTGCAGCCTCTTCACTCGATAATCCTTGTTATAAAAGAATTGAGCTTCAACTTCAAAATTCAAATTTGGAAAGCTTAGCTAAAAATCTATTGTATGATGACTACTTCCCTCCAACATGCATATTTGTGCCAATGCTCACAAATGCGTGAACTCTTTTTTCATCTATGCTATCCACATCTATTAATATAGTGACCAGATTTTGAGGATTGTTGTGCCTTTGCCAATTCATGTTCATTTATGGCACTTAAGTCCAAGACAATAGATCATAGGCCACACATACTAAACATTGACATAACTTTCACAAGTGAGATTATGGGGATATAAACGTACAATAAGAAATTTATACTTTATAGGCTCATGCATCTCAGGCTAAAGGAAGCCTTGCGCCAAAATCCCACAAAGAGATAAAGATGACACAAAATAAAAATTTCGGTTATTTAGATTTTGACCTTCTTAACTTGTATCATGTTAGTGTTGTTTAAATTTGCTTTTCCAGATAACGAGGTTGTCTCATTATTATTATTATTATTGAGGATTTCTTAGGGTTGATGCTTTGGGAGAACACATGGAGATGAATTGCATGTTACTTATTGTATCTGGTCATTTATTTTCCTATCCCAATTACTTGTTTCTATATACAGGTTTTCTGGATCATTTATTTCCTATCCTAATTACTTGTTTGTATATATTGTTTTCTTGGTCATTTATTTCCTATCCCAATTACTTGCTTCTATATACTGTTTTCTTGGTCATTTATTTCCTATCCTAATTACTTGTTTGTATATATTGTTTTCTTCTTGATCTTCCACAGGGAAAGTATACAGCCGGTCCATGACATTAATGTTGCACCAGAAGGCAACCCTCAGATCACTGGACTTCATAATTTATGCACTGATCCATGGCTTGGTATCCCTTGGGTGCACCATTAATATCATGGATTGGGTCCACTGAATACTTTCTCTCTCCCTCAAGTACTTCCCTCACATCAATCAGTGTTCTTCGTTGGTACGGTGCCCCACTGCCAGTGTAACCTCGCATATATCATCGTCAAGAAAATTGACAGGCTAAACTACCATCTCAGATAAGAACAAGAAGAACAAATAATAACACGTCGAAACAATAGTTTTACAGTTTTCAGTATTTTTTAAATTCAAACAATATATGATAAATCAAAGATCAGATGTAAAGGTGAACCATGACCAGTGGACCTAAAACAACATAAAATCTATAGCTCCTACACATGCTGTTATAAGATAGTGCAGCATATGATCTAGGTTAGTAAGAAACAAGTATTTCAGCTCCTACACATATCATACGCCAGATTTCGGACTCCATTAAATCAATATGCATAAGGCTCACAAAAACTGTATATGCTTGGAATAAGTAAAATGTTTACTGTAAAATATTGAGAGACATTAATTTCAGTTAATAAAATTTTCTTCGTATTGCAACAAAGTCAAAAGACTACAGAAATACATTAATTCAAAACATACTACCAACAAGAAAACCAAAATGTGTGCAGTTCAAATAAGTACCGGAAAAACTGCAATTATGAAGGATGTTCATAGTTTCATAAAAATACAAGACAATATTTCAAAGCAACGCAATGCAACATATTGAAAATTAACCTGTGCTAAAGATCTATACTCTTTTCATACAGCTTACTGTATAAACAATACAATAAAATTGGATATATGTCTCAGTTTTGTAATTAGCTTATTACTACAAAAGGTAGGAAACTAGAAGGAAAAAGCTTATCTTACAGGCCAAAACATCTAAATACCACTTAAACTCGGATGAAGAAATTTACCTCGAAGATCTCCAAGAAAATGTATTGCTACTTTATGATCTTTGTTTTGGTAGCAATAATCTGGGAGGAATGAGTTATGTCATCACTTTGGGAAGAACTCCAGCTGTTCTTCAGAAATTTATCTGGTAGAAACAGTTTCAGGTTCAGATCTACGGAAGGGTACACGATGATCAGGAACTCCATCTTCCACTCGCTTGTCTTCAAACCACTTCACCACCCTTTTAAAAGGAAGGTTAGTCAAATGGACTATGCTGCTGATCATTGCATTCTGTATATTAAGATAAAAGGAAAAAGAAGCATGTTAACAAGAAAATCACATCTAAATATAAACCTGTATCCACACAGTTAGAGACAACATTCTCATGCAAATTATACACACTATTCATGAGAATCCTCGAGTCATAACTTGTTAGAATAAATCAAGAAAGGAACGGGGGAAGAAAGTATTGCAATAGCATATACAAACATATACAGACAAAATTTCTGAACGAACTGACTCTATGTAGTGCATACACTTCTATCATGGTCATGGAGTCAAAGATGCTGTTCAAAGGCAACACCTATGAAACATGTCCATGTATGATTTATTTTGACTTAGGTTACTCTTGATACATTGTAAATGCTCCTTCGATATACGCTTTACATACTACAGTATAAAATTCCCATCTTTCATCAAATGAAATTACAAATTTAAAATGAAGAACTAAGAGATATATTATACAAAACTTCTATTACTATGTAATACATACTAAAACAGATGTCACTACTCGCATGTCTGACAGGTGGCAGTTGTTTAAGTACTTTATGTTTTTTGTTATTCGACAACTTTAGCAAAAATTATATACTTAAAATAATAATTGTTTTTGCATGTTCCCGATGACATTTAGTATGAAGACGAAGGGTTTGTACGCTAACGGAGAAAGTTATTTAACTTATAAATTATTCTAAATATAAATATCACTATGTTTTGCTAAACTAAAATCATTTTTAGTAGTATGCTACTAATTCCATGAACCACACGGGTACAACTGGTGAATACATATACAAAGGCACACAAAAACACATGTGCATGTTCATGTTCATGTGCCCAACCAACCCCACCCCACACACACATTATATATATAGAGAGAGAGAGAAACTTATATCAACTTAAGTGGACCATCCACCAAAATTTCTATCCATTGATGATACCTAGAGATTCGTGCATTATATGAAGAGACTTTTCATCAATGGATAGAAACTTTGGTGGATGGTCCACTTAAGTTGATATAAGTTTCTCTCTCTCTCTCTCTCTCTCTCTCTCTCCCCCACCCCACACACACATTATATATATAGAGAGAGAGAGAAACTTATATCAACTTAAGTGGACCATCCACCAAAATTTCTATCCATTGATGATACCTAGAGATTCGTGCATTATATGAAGAGACTTTTCATCAATGGATAGAAACTTTGGTGGATGGTCCACTTAAGTTGATATAAGTTTCTCTCTCTCTCTCTCTCTCTCTCTCTCTCTCTCTATATATATA